ACCATTTGAGGGGAGGAGGTATGGGAACCCTGAATTAGGGCTGGCGGCTAGGGGTGGCACCCTGCCATGGGCAGTTGGCACCTGAACCGGGGGCAGTGTGGTCTGCTTCTCCCTCCAGAGGCCACACCATCTCTGGATGGGGTCCGGACTGGACTCGGGGACACTCAGCTGGTGTCCGAGGTGTGTGGGAGAGGAGAAATCCCCATAGATACTTGTGACCGGAGATCACAGATCCGTGGACCGCGTTCCCCACCCCCACCAACCCACATGAACACGAGAGAAACTGGTTTATTTTTTCCCTCCTGGAGAAGGAAGCTTGCTTTACTTGAAGTGTACTGATTGAAATGTTAGTTTTATCAACAAATCTGTCCACAGTAACATTCAGGCTGGTGTCAGATATTGCTGCCATGACCCAATTAAACTGATGCACACACTGTCAGGAGCCTCTGCTGCTTTGTGTGTTTAAGATAATTTATTTATTCGAAAGAGTTACACAGAGAGAGAGGTCTTGCTGGTTCATTCCTTAGCAGTTGTAGGATGAGGATTTAGCCACTAGGCTAATGTGCAGGGCCCAAAATAAATAAACTTTTAAGAAAACAAAAATAGGGCCTGTCATGGTAGCCTAGTGGCTAAAGTCCTCGCATTGAATGAGCCAGGATCTCATATGGGTGCCAGCCAGTTTGTGTCCCAGCAGCTCAGCCTCCCTTCCAGCTCCCTGCTTGTGGCCTGGGAAAGCAGTCGAGGACGGCCCAAAGCCTTGGGACCCTGCACCTGTGTGGGAGACCCAGAAGAGGCTCCTGGCTTCGGATCAGCTCAATTCCAACCGTTGCAGTCACTCAGGGAGTGAATCATTAGGAGGAAGATCTTCCTCTATGTGTATCTGATTTCCCAATTAAAAAAAAATAAATTGGGGGCCCGGCGCGGTGGCGCAATTGGTTAAAGGTCCTCGCCTTGCACGCCCGGGATCCCATATGGGCGCCGGTTCTAATCCCGGCAGCCCCGCTTCCCTTCCAGCTCCCTGCCTGTGGCCTGGGAAAGCAGTCGAGGACAGCCCAAAGCTTTGGGAACCTGCACCCGCGTGGGAGACCCGGAAGAGGCTCCTGGCTTCGGATCGGCATAGTATCGGCCCGTTGCGCTCACTTGGGGAGTGAATCATCGGACGGAAGATCTTCCTCTCTGTCTCTCCTCTCTGTATATCTGCCTTTCCAATGAAAAAATAATAAAAATAAATCTTTAAAAATAAATAAATAAATAAATTGCTAAACTTTTTATAAATAGTAATAAAAGAAAAATAATAAGAAGTAAAGATGGTGGGGTTGCTGTGGTGGCTCCATAGGCTAATCCTCTGACTGCTAGTACCAGCATCCTATATGGGCACTGGTTCTAATCCCGGCAGCTCCACTTCCATCCAGCTCTCTGCTTGCGGCCTGGGAAAGTAGTAGAAAATGTTCCAAAAACATCAAACAAACAAAAAAAGATAAGAACAACAACCAAAAAAAAAAAAAAAAAAAAGAAAGAAAGAAAGAAAAGAAAGCGACCCAAAGCCTTGGGATCCTGCATCTGCATGGGAGACCCAGAAGAAGCTCCAGGCTCCTGGCTTCGGATCAGCTTAGCTCTGGCCATTGTGGCCGCTTGGTGAATGAACTAGTGGATAGGAGATCTTTCTCTGTCTCTTCTCTCTCTCTCTTTTTTTAAATTTATTTTTTATTTTTTTCCTTCTCTCTTTAAATCTGCCTCTCCACTTAAGAAAAAATGACAAAAATAGTGGTCAGGCGGTGTAGAACAAGCATCCTATATGAGCGTTGGGCGGAGTCCTGGCTGCTCCACTTCCCATCCAGCTTCCTGCTATTGGCCTGGGAAAGCAGAGAGAAGATGGTCCAAGTTCTTGGGCCCATGCGTCCACGTGGGATGCCAGCAAGAGGCTCCAGGCTCCTAGTCAGCCTTTTTTGAGAATGTGTGTGTGTTTCAATTTTTGATTTGGGTCTGTTTTTGTTTTGCTTCAATACCTCTGCCACTTAGGAATGTTAACAGTTATTACACTGCATGTTGCTAAGAGGATTTTGTGTAGGATCAAGTTATTTTTATAGGAGTTAATGTGATGTTATAAATGGAAATCTTTCCTTATACTGTGACATGATGATGTCTGTACAAATCGGTGTCTTTCTAGAACCCGTGCTGTGTGAGGCATTCCTCCTCAGGCTGTTGCACTTACGCACCATTCAGGTCTGTTAAAGTAGACGTGGGTTCGTGACTGCCAAGTTTTGCTCAGTGCAGTAGTTTTCATCGCTAGCAGTGGGACTTGCTAATGGAGTCCTCTAGTCATTTCAGTGTTGTTTTTCCCACCATACATCTGTGTATTTTCTCTTTAGGTGACTGAGGGTGTGCGAAAGGTGAGTGCACAGTGACTCAGTTTTATGAACTGCTGTACCCTGTTCATGCATATTGCTCAGTGGCTCCAGTGTATCTTACCTGTACTGACCAAACCTAAATAAAGATTTTTATTGTAAATCCTTTTTTTATATAAAAAAAAGCACTGTATCTTTTAAAAATGTTATTGCAAAGTCAGATATACAGAGAAGAAGAGACAGAGAGGAAGATTTTCTGTCCAGTGATTCACTCCCCGAGTGACCGCAGAGGTTGGAGCTGTGCTGATCTGAAGCCAGGAGCTCTTCCAGGTCTCCGATGCGGGTGCAGGGTCCCAAGACCTTGATCTGTACTCCACTGCTTTCTCAGGCCACAAGCAGGGAGCTGGATTTCAGGAGCGGGGCTACTAGGATTAGAACCAGAGATCACATGGGATTCCGGAAGGTTCAAGGCGAGGACTTTAGCCACTAGGCTACCGTGACGGGCCCCCAGCCCTGTATCTTAAAAACAAGTTGAGTAATGGCTTAGTGGCTAAATCCACACCTTACATGTCCTGGGATCACATATGGGCGCCAGTTTGTGTCCCAGCTGGCTCCCCACCAAACCCTTGTAGAAAATAATTCTATTTTGTTTTCTTTTTCTTTCTTTCTTTTTTCTTTCTAAAATTTAGATGATGTTTACAGAGTTGATCAGTGTGGGAAGGGTCAAGGTTAGGGAAAAGTGAGTGTAATTATCGTTTCTGAATTTTCGATTTCTTCTTCCTGTCTCTGGGAGGAAGGGAGGTGGGGGAGAAGGGGAGAAGCCATACCCAGCCTCACAAATGCCCCAGGACCCAGATGTGCGGAATGGCCACCTGATATCAATGTAGGCATGACCCAAAGGTCGTGCTTGAGCGGTTTCGATAGTTTTGAAATGTTGATCTCACTGATCTAAGGAAGAGGGGACCCTTCCAATGTTCACTGGCTGACACAGTTGGCCTTAGAGTCTCCATTCGCCCAGATATTTGCTGTCATTGTTTGGCTGGGATAGTTGTCCAGCTTGTTCTGCCCTCCTTCCTCTGGCATGGTACAGATGTCCCCTGCAGGCCTCAGTGCGCTGCCATGTCCTCTGTGTGGATATGGGCCAGCTGTCCACTACGTTTCCACTGAGGAGGACCAGTTCTCACAGGTTGGCGCAAGGACCCAGGCCAGGAGACCCAGGCCCTGCTGGGTCCCCTGCCCCAGGGTTTATGCACCCAGCGCCCTCTGCGCAGGAGGGCCAACTACAATTCTTTAACAGTTCTGGATTCTAGAGAGACAGCAAAAGAGAGCGGGATCTTCCATCCATTGGTTCACCCCTCAGCTGGCTGCCATAGTCAAAGCCAGAAGCACATGGGTGCCACTCTTCCAAAATGCCAGGGTAAGTGGACCAGATTGCCTTAGAGGTCACAGAACAGCCAGTGGAAACCCAGCCCTGGACCAATCAGCTGTGTTGCAGATGGAGTGTGAGGTGAAGGACCCAGAGGCGGAGCTGGGGAGGACTCAGCAGTGACCAGCACTGCAGGGAGGCTGGTAGGCAGCTCACAAATCCCAAATGCTCTGCTCTCCTGAGCAGGCCCAACCAGTGCCAACCACACCTCCTCCTTGAGCGGTGGGCAGCTTCCCAGGGCTCCACCCAGGGCCACCCTGCAGCATTGGCTGGTTTTGAGGGCAGGGCTGGGGACCCCACATCAAGAGAGGGCACAGGCAGGCACAGCCCATCTGCCCTGACATGTGAAAACAACCAGCTGCAGGGGCTGGGACCCCCAGCATAGGTCGTCTGGCTCCCACTTTCTTCTGGGACTGGGGAATCAGTCCAGGCCCAAGGTCCCCCCTGCTTTTGAGAAGGGTTTGCGTGTGCCCATTCACACACCCCAAGGGTCAAGCAGCCTCTATATAGCGGTCCCCAGCCACTTCCTGTCCCAGGGACCTTGGGCAGCAGGAAGGGCCTTCATAAGACACAGATCTGAACAGGTCACTCCAGCTGAGTGTCGACATTCAGCCCCTTTGATCTTACACTAAGGCCCCTCATCATCTGTCTCCAGCTGTCACACCCATCTCGTCCTCTCCCTACCTGCTCCCCCATTCCCAAGTCTCTGCTGTCTGTCCCATGCCCATACCGTCCATATCCCCACCTGGGGTGCCCCAACTACACTGCAGCCCAGACAACTCCTGACACAGTGACCTCGGCCCAGGGGTTGTAGCATCCCACCGGGGGCTGCCTGCTGCCAGCTTCCTGCTAAGGCACGGCCTGGGAGGCAGTGACGATGGTCCCCATCCCTGTCATGCACGTGGGAGACCTGCATGGAGTCCCCAAGTCTCAGGTCTGCTGCATCTGTTTAGGGAGGAAACCAGCAGGTGCAAGAGCTGTCTGTCTCTCTGTGGAAGAAAGGGGAAAGTCATGTTGCTTTTTTTCCCCTCTCTCTTTTTAAAGACTTTATTTATTAGAAAGGCAGAGACAGAGATCTGCCATTCTGGTTTATTCTCCAAAAAGCCACAGACAGACAGGGCTGGGCCAGTCAGGAGCCAGGAGCTTCTGCTTCTCCCCAGTGACGGGAGGGGAGGGCAATCCATCTTCCCAGCAGGTGCTCTGCCCTGCCCAGCAGTGGGTGCCACGCAGCTCCCCCAGCTCCTACCAATCCCTGCCCCTCTTCGGGCCTGAGCCATCCCATCTGTCAAGTGGTTGCAACCATTCCCACCACGGAGGCTGACATCACTTCGGCAAAAATAAGTCAGGAAACTCATTGTACAAATGAACGGAACTGTTAACAGACCCAGGAAGGAGGGTAAACAGAGCAGAGAGGTGGGGCTGGTGTGTGGGGCCTGTGCCCTGCGGCCCCCGAGGCAGACAGTGGGCAGGTGGCACAGCACCCGTTGGAGAAGGGAGCCGGAGGCGTCCCAGTCCTTCCCTGGGGACCAACCTCCTGCACGTCCAGGGGCTGGAGGAAGGCCCCCCGTAGAACACAGATGTGGCCGACACTGGCCGACTGCAAGGTGAGGTACACACGGGCAGGCCGACTGCTGCTCCCCGGAGCCAGGCCCGCCAGGCTCGGGCTGTGGGCAGTGCCAGCACCGGCAACGTGCAGGCGGAGGTGCTGAGCCAGGTCCTGCAAGCACCCTCAGACCCTTGGACCTGTTCATCTCCCTCTCCCCTTGAGTGTCCCGGCGTCTTTTGCCCTAGTGACTTAAGCAGCCCCTGGCCTGGGCTGGCCCCTCCTCTGACTCCGAGGAGTCCTGATGGTGGACGGTGCCCAGACCGTGCCCTCTTTCCCCTGCTCATCGCCCTTTGGAAGGGTCCTGGTTGCTGGGTGACCCACGGCAGATCCATCCTCACAGCACCCCCGAGTGGTTGCCCGTGGGAATGCCTGGCTTGTCGTTCCCCACGGGGGCGGGGCTGGGTCTCTTGGCTCTTGGTGGAGTGGGTTACTCAGAGCAGGGCCTTGAAGAGGAAGGAGAGAGAAGCCCCACAGGAAAGTCCCAGCGCCAGGAAGAAGGTCATGAGGGCGCCGGCCACCTCCCTCTCGTGTGGCAGCACCTGCCTGGAACACAGCAGAATGTAGAATGCTCAGAAGCTGCCGGGCTCAGCCTAGACTGCTCCAAGGAGCCAGAGCCCTAAGCTGTGGTCCCGGCGCCCACCCAAGCCTGTGTTTCTGCCACCAGCCCCTTCTCCCTGGGCTGCACCTTCCTGTCTGGTCACTGCCCCTGGACTCCCAGCTCCCTTGCCCTTAGAGAAAAATACACTGCTTTTAATTAAAATTCCAGCTCCCTTTATCCCAAAGGGTTGGAGCTTGCTGGGCCCTGGAGGGTGGCAATCCAACCCACATATCTACAGATGGGAAACTGAGGGTAGAAGAGGCATCCCCCAGAACAGGTGCCTGAGCTACTCTACCAGGCAGGTTCCACCTGCTCGCCTGCCCCAGCAGGGAAGGCCTGGGGACCACTGCGCCCCAACCACGAGCTTCCTTCACCAGGGCTCACCACCTCCCCGCCCAGGTGCCCACCCTGCATGCCCCCTGACCTGGGCGCCAGGCACATGGTGAGGGACACCAGGTAGCCGTTGGAAACGGCGAAGAGCAGCATGAAGGTGATGAAGTAGGCATCCTGTGGGAAGAGGACGGGCAGCCGCGAGCGCTGGGGCACGTGGCACAGCATGAAGAGTGGCACAAACAGGAAGCGCAGGCAGACCAGCAGGGGCAGCAGCCGGCTGTCCTCCACCGGCTGTAGCAGAGATGGGGGTGAGCACACTCCCCATGGCCAGCCCTCCGCCCTGGACGCCCACTCACCCTCAGGGGGCCTGGAGAGAACTGGGGGCTGAACTAAGGCCACCCCTTCGGTAGCTGCTCACTCTCCATGGCTCAGACCCAACAGGACTCTGAAGGCCCCTCTGGTTTTCAAACTTGGTTCCTCAGAGCGCCCCACCCTGGGGTTCCACAGACCCTTCCGGGGTTGGGGACAGAGTGGGTTGGGAAGCTGGATGTCAGGGTCCTCCTCTTGGGTCTCCCCATTGTCTCCTTGCCACCCCCGGGCCCAGCTGCTCTTTCTGATTGGCTGGCTCACAGCTGCGCTCACCCAGAGAAAGTAGGAGGTCAGGCTGCGTCCCAGCCAGTCCATGACGTTGAAGAGAAGGAAGCAGCAGATGGGGTTGAAGAACTGACCTGGCAGCAAGAGGGGCTGGCGGCTCACCCTGGGCCCAGCACCCCTTCCCTCCGTGCCCTCCACCCCACCCCGCCTGGCCTCTCTGGGTGCCCCACACTCACTCCACTTCCCAGGGCTGGTGGAGCTGGTCACCATGGCTGTGATGGCGGGGAAGACTGACAGGGTGACTGTGAAGACCAACACAAGGCACAGCGCCGTCAGCCAGATCTGGGAGCCGGAGGCAGGGGTGTGAGCGGGCAGAGAGGGCAGCCTGCCCTGCCCCTCGCCAGCCCATACCCCACAGGGAGGGCACCCTACTCTGCCCCTCACCAGCCACCTCCACCCAAGGGTCCCCAGCCCGCCTACCATACCCTCAGGTGGGTGGTGTGAGTGAGCTGGGGACAAAGGGAAGACGAGTTCGGGTCCCAGCCAAACCTTTCGGAAGACAGTGAAGACTGAGGGCTTCTCGGGCTGCTGGGCCTCCACGGGCACCTGCTCTGGCTCCTTTTCGGGGTCCAGGTCCAGCGTCAGGGTTGCCTTCTTGGGGCTGCTGGGAATCCCATTCTTGTCATCTGCAGCCCAGGGTGGGAGGAGTCATGTCTGTGACGGAGGGTCCTGCCCAGCCCAGGGCACAGGGGGTGGAGAACGGTGGCAAGCCCATGCACATGGCTCTTCTGTGTTCAGCGCACAATGTCTCATGTAGAAGATGGGAGTGAAAATCCCCACAACCTACTGGCTGTGGCCACTGTCACCTTCCACACTGCTGCACCGACCACCGTGTGTGTAAGCCAAGCCCACGCTGCCAGTCCTACAATGCACACAGTTACACCAGGGCCTAAGCCACCAACCTTGGTGGTCCCACGTGAATGTCATGCTAGGGCAGTGGGCTTCCTTGCCGAGCAACTGTACTTGATACTAAAAGACGAGGCTGTTGATGTGTAGAGGGTCTATTCTACACTTTTGATCATTATTTTAGAGTGTATTCCTTCACCTTTTAAAAAATATATTTATTTTTATTGGAAAGTCAGATTTACAGACAGATGGAGAAGCAGAGAGGAAGATCTTCCATTCACTGGTTCACTCCCCAAGTGGTCTCAATGGCCAGTGCTATGCCGATCCGAAGCCAGGAGCCAGCAACTTCCTCTAGGTCTCCCACGCAGGTGCAGGGTCCCAAGGCTCTGGGCCATCCTCGACTGGTTTCCCAGGCCACAAGCAGAGAGCTGGATGCGAAGTGGAGCAGCTGGGATACGAACCAGCACCCATATGGGATCCCAGGACATGCAAGGCAAGAACTTTAGCTACTAGGCTATTGGGCCAGGCCTGCTGTTCCACCTCCTACCCAGCTTGCTGTTAGTGCGTTGGGAAAGCAGCAGGAGACACCCCAAATGCTTGAGCCCTGGCCACCCACGTGGCAGAACTGCATGGATTCCCAGGCTCCCGGCTTGGGGTCTTGCCCAGCTGTGGCTGTTATGGTCATTTGGAGAGTGACCCGGCAGAATGAAGACCCATCTTCCTCTGTTTAACTCTGGCTTTCAAATAAATGAAATCCTAACACATATGTACACACATATAAGTTGACTTTTAAGTGACGCCTGGTTTACTGCGTCTCATGGTGAGGTCAGGAGGCCATGTAGGGCGATGGCCAGGTCACACTATGACGCACACATGCACCACATGTACAGGACACATCCTTGTCCTTCCCTGACACCTGACTCCAGGTGTGCCTGGTCAAAGCAGCTCCTCCCACACGAACGGAGAGCCGGGGTGGTAGGGGAGGGGCCTGTGACAGCTGGGGCTGGGCTGGAGCCTGAAGCTCAATGGGGCCTTCCACACGACGGAGCACCTGCCCTTTCCCCCCCGCCAGGGTGTGCGTTAGGGACAGTAAGCTGGCACTGCAGGGTGGGATACAGGCATCGGAAGCAAGCTCTTGGCCGCTGCACCAAACACCAGCCATTCTGCAGACTCTCGTGGCTTGCACGAGGCTACTCTGGCTGGCAAAGGAGGGATGAGCTTCCCAGGAAAGTGGCTGTGACTTCGTCTGGGTCCCCCACTCCCACTTTGGCCTTGCCTCCTCGGCAGGGTCTGGGACTCACCAGCCTGTAGGAGCTCAGCTCTGGTCTCCAGCTCTTGGGTTGGGGCCTGCGAGGGCTTCTTGGCCAGGTAGTAGTGGGCAAACTCCTGCAGAGAGAGCGGGAGTTGTCGGCCCTGGGCCTAAGCAGGGGTCCAGAGACCTCCCCACCCCGGCTTGGAGGCCGAGTGCCCCTGCTAGCCGATTCCTGCAGCGCGAACTCCTCGTAGTGCCATGGGCTCTTTGTGCTGCGCCCAGAGCCCCGCAGCATGCTCACCAGGTGGGACAAGCTCAGGTAACACACGATGGACAGGAGGATGCCCACACAGGGTGTGATGAAGTACCCCAGGGCGGAGGTCTGGGCGTCCACACCACCTGTGTGTGGCAGAACCGTGATGACTATGAGCTGTGTGGTGGGGATGGGGGTGGTGGCAACAGCGGGTACCTCCAGCTGCTGCTCAAGACCAGCTGGCTGGCCACGCCCCCTCTTTCCATGCCATGCCTCTCACCCCCACCCATCTGTCCTTCCTCTTGCTGTCCCTCCTCCCACCTGGTGTCATTTTTCTTTGGCACCTGCTAAGGGCCAGAAGTCACTTCCCCGGGGATCATAACACTGAGGCTAAATGTCTCAATGTCCTCCTCTCGGGAACAGGGAATACCCACCTGTCCGAAGCCCCCTCCCTCAACCTCCACTGCTGACCCCAGAGTCTGTACCAGGCAGCAAGTGGCCCAGGCCTTGCTCTCACTCACCGCCCAGCCTAGCCTCTGTCCACTCACCACCCACACCCGCCCTTTCTCTGTTACCTTTGCCCGGAACTCAGACGACTCCTTCCTGAACGCCCCCTCTCAGCTCTCCCAAACCCCAGAGACAACCCTACACTACTCACTGGCCATGGACAGCACCATGGCGAGGGCAGCAAAGATGCCTGCCAGGCCCTGGCCGCTGAGGAAGAGGGTGCTGTAGGTGGAAGGCATGGTCCCCAGCTGCCCGAAGAGACTGCCCTGCAGGATGGCACAGAAGGCTGCAGAGGGAAAGAGATGGGGGCCACTGTAGCTCTGAGGGGCTCCCCGGAGGAGGTGCTGCTGGCAGGGTGTGCTTGGGATTCCAGGATAGGGCCCAGCTTTCCCAGGGACCAACCTCTCCCCCTGCACCTGCCACCAGATCACTCCCAGGTATACGCCCAAGAGTCTGGACTCGGGCCGCCTTTTCTCCTGCTCTGGCTATCAGGGGTATGGGTAACACTGAAGCTGCTTTCCTTCTTGGACACAAGTGCCACAGGGGCTAGCTGGGGAGGAGCAGTGGACAGAGTGCTCACAGTTGATGAACCAGACGGAGGCCATGGTGATGGAGAAGAAAGGCTCGGGGCTCACGTCCACCTTGACCAACGCTGCCGTCAGTGCAAAAAGTAGTAGTATGGCCAGCAGGCTGCCCAGAATCCGCACGGCCTCGGGGATGCTGCATGGCAGGGCGGGGCATCAGCTGGCAGCAGGTGCAGCGGGGAGGGGCAGAGGGAGTGAGGACAGGGCAAGGGAGGGCTTCCTGGCCCACGGGGCGGGCCTTACCACTGGTACAGGAAGGAGTTGAGGAGCGTGAAAAGCAGCAGGGGCAGCTGTGACAGCAGGGTCACCCAGTTGTTGAAGTTGAAGACGTCAGTGGGGGGGCTTGTGCTATTGGTGCCGAGGGTCCTGGCTGTGCCGTTGACCCCCGCCAGCCGCCCCTGGAAGTACTGCAGGGGGAGGGAGGCCAAGAGGGGTCAGGAAGCCCCCAGCGTGGCCCTTGTGCAGGCTTGGACCTGTCTCCCCTGCCCAGCCCACTGCCGCCCTTAAGGGGTTTGCTGAGAGCCACCAGCCCTGGCCCCAGTGCTGACCAACCAACCACATTCTCTCTGGAACCCAAACCTGGCAGCTGCTGTACAGAGCTTCACTGCCTGGCTGCTTGTAGGGTCTAGCCTCAAAGTTTCGGGGTTCAGAATCAGACTCCACCTCCCCTTGGCACCTCATTTCCTCCTCAAGTTCCAGGCATGCTGGGCTAAGGGACTGTAAAGACCAGGCTGGCCCTTGCCTGCTCCAGTAGCTTAGCACAGCTCTCGTTTCCTCTGGAATGCCCTCTCTCTCCTCCCTTCCAGCCACTCCAGACCTCCTCCACCCCCACCACACACACACACACACAACTCCCCAGCCTGAAGCAGGAATGTGGTTTGTCCCTTTGCAGACCAGCAGTGCAGTCCTTCCTTCCAAGCTGGGAGATGCACACGTATCACCTTACGTTATTAATAACCCTGGGCCCCTTCTTGGCTTAGGACCGGGGCTAGTGCATGCTGGGATCTCCCAGCCCAGCAGCACCAGCAGGCATCCCAAACGTGACTTTACAGAATCGGTAGGAACAACCCAACCCCACCCCAAAGGGGACACTCTGGGTACAGACCCCTCCTCAGTGCTGCCTCCCAGTCCCCAGGGGCAGGTGCGCAGCGGTAGTTTATGGAATGAATGAATGAACTTGGTTCGCACTGCTACACCGGCTCAGATGAGCCACTTTCGCAGGGAGTGGCCCAGAAAGGGCCACTCGCAGAGAAAGTGAGCGAGGAGCTCACAGCCGCGGATCCTTGGAGCTGGCGGCGGCCTTGGCTCCTGACAACCTGGGCTTTCAGCAAACTTTGGCTTTCCCGGACGTGAGAGAAGCCCCCTCGGTCTGAGGCTCCGCCTCAGCAAACAGGTGCGCAAAACGACCCCTCAGTCCCAGGCATGGCAGGGGTGACTGCGGGTCTCACCGGGATGGCGGTGATGAAGAAGTTCCATGGAAGAAGGGTGCCCAGTCCCAGGATAAAGAAGCTGATGCCGACCAGGTGGTAGCTGTGGGCACGGCGAGAAGGTCAGCCCGAGGACGCGCGCCCTGCGAGCGGACCGCAGCACCCCAGGCCCCGGCTCGCGCGGCCCGGGGAGTCGGCTGCTGGGAATTGTAGTTCTTGGAGCCGGGCAACAGCCGGCTGGGCTCGCCGCCCCCTCTCGGGGGCAGGGACCCGGAACGCAGCCCGCCAGATCCCCAGCTCACCTGTCCCGTGGGGCGGCTCCTCGCGCCATGGCGGCGAAACGCGCGGGGTCTGGAGAGGGCTGGGGAAGCGGCTCTTGCACCTGCGCCGGCCCGCGGGCCGAGACCGGGCGGGGGAAGGGAGGCAGGCACCGGGAGCCAGCCCGGCCGGATGCGGCGGGTCTCGCGGTTCGCACGCTCCGCCCCGGGGCGGAGACCGAGGGTCGTACACCACTCCTCGCTCCCACCCGCACCGCACAACCCCGCGGTTGCTGCGGTCTCCTGGTTCCCACTCGGGCCCTGCGCCCTGGTCCGCTATAGCAGGTGGGGCCCGAGCCGGGCGGGCGCTGGGAGCCCTGGGAAGGCGCCTGCGCCCGCCCGGGAGTAACGGGAGGAGCAGGTGCAGCCGCTGCCGCCCGCGTGCTTCCTGGAGGGCCGCGCCTCGTTGGATCCCTGGCAACCGAAGGAAAGGGCCAAGGTGGTTAGAATCCCGAGGCTGGTTCGGTAGATGGAATTGCAGCCCTGTGCTCCAGTAGGGAAAGAAGGGCAGGGGGCATCCAGTGGAGGCTGCAGAGAGAAAAACCACCCTGGGGGTGAGCCCAGTGGCTGTGTGTGCCTTTCTGCAATCCCACGTGACAGCATGTCGAATTTATTAAGATCTGAAAGGCATTAGAAAGCTTGGAATTCGCTTCGACTGATTCTCCTAAGTATGGCTTCTTGGGGATCCAGGGTGAACGTCACAACTTCACCAGTCAAGGAAATGAATGTTAACATGTTTTTATTTATCTGAAAGGCGGAGTTACAGACAGGAGAGGGCGAATCTTCCGTACACTGGTTCACTCCTCAGAGGGCAGGGGAACCAGCGTGGGGAGGCAGGTTGGCCACAAGTCCACCTCTAGTGACGCAGTTTAATGACCCTGTGTGTTTTGCCTCCAGCCACGGCCCTGCAGTGGGTGGCATGCAAATAGCTTTAGGGAGAACAGGGACAGCATGAAAAAAGTTACATTCTTTCCAGTTTACTTTCCAGCCTGGAAATCTATCAAGGAGGAAACTTTCAAGTGGCTGCTAAGGGGTTTCTAACACCTCTTCATCTCCCTCTGTCCTTGTGGTACCTGCTGACAGTTTCATTTAAATACACGTTCGTGGTTTATGGCACTGGGCTCTTAGGCTTCTCAGGTACGGGGAGGGGGCGGCCGTAACAGCTCCTCAGCTTGCGTGCTTGGGGTGACCTGTGTTGATCTGCCCAGACAAGGTCAGGCTGACCCAGCGTTGCAAACATCCCTGAATGGGAGTGTCTGACTTACACAGGGTGCTGGGGTCATATCTGCTCTACTCAACAGTCCACAAAGAAACCTTGCCAGAGGTGACCCCAGGCCTGATTCCTGGAGTGCCGACCAGTTCTGCTCATTCTGTCACCCACATCATCCTACACACACCAACAGTTGACCGGTCAGTTCTGTCTCTGGCCCCATCTCATGTACAAACCAAGGCATGCTGCGGCCCAGACCAACCCTACCCGCTACACATTCAGCCCTCGCATACACCAGTAGGAACTGCAGCCTAGTCAGAGCAAGGCTCTGTAATCCCCACAGACCCACCCTCAACCTCATGCATATGCTGGTATGTGCGACAGACTAGCCAAGTAGGTCCCACATCCCATTCGGTCTTACACACAACAGTGGGTGCTGCAGCCTAGCTCAGCCCAACCAACCTTGCTATCTAAGCCCACACTCACGCCAGCAGGTGCCACTGCCTCTCCAACCAGACCTATTACCAGAAACGCTTGGTGAGTTCTTTCCTCAGCTTAATACAGAAATGAAAATCTGGTTGCAGATGAAGAAGTTTTATTTGGGAAGTGACCGGGTGAGCGGGGAAAGAAGAAGGAAGAACACCTCCTGAGAAAGGACCAGGACGTGGGGCGCCTCTCAGAAGGAGAGAGAGACAGACACCAAAGCTTTGAGGAAGGGTCTTGGGATTTTAAGCCTTCCCTGACCCCTCCTCGTTGGGCAGGAACCTTCAAGTAAAAGGTTCCCCATTGGTGGTCTCTTAGCCAGTTTAGAAATGACTGGGCAATTCCTGTGGCAAATCTTGGCCACTTGAAGGTGTGACCAAAATTGCACTGGGCTTGATCGATCTCAAAGCCTACCAGGCTCTGGCTCCCATGCTCACCGGTGGAAGCTGCAGCCCGTCAGAGGTGTGCCCACAGGTTCCTTACTGGGCCCAATCCCAGCCCCGGGTCTTGCACTCTCCAGATGGTTCTGAGGTCTAGCCTAACAAGACTTTCCCCCAGTCCCAGCACTTGTCAGCTGATGCTGCAGCAAAGCCCAACCAGCCTGTATTTACTCTGGCTCATGCATATACCAATGGATTTGGCCACCCAGCCTTTCTCTCTTGCTAACCCAGCTCAAATGCAGACCAATGGGTATGTAGCCTGCCCAGCCTGGTCATCCCCAAGTCCCAGCTCTCATGCTCACCAATGGGAACACTGATCCAGCAGGGGAGCCCCTACAGCCCTCTTACAGGGCTCACCCTCCCTCCGGGTCTTACATGTATTGGTGGGTGCCAGTCTGGCATGGCCAGCCTCACCTCGGCATTTGCCGGTGGGTACGTGACCTGGCCTGGCCCACCAGTACAGTTCCAACTCTTGCTAGTGGGTGCTACAGCCTAGTCCAACCCAGGCAGACCCTAGACCTGGCCCTAATATGAACTGGTTGGCCTTGTGGCCCAACCCGGCTGTCTTGCATCTCATCCTGGTTCTTAAATTTGTCAGTTGGTGTTATGAACTGACCAGCCCAGCCAGTGGGTACTGTAAGCTGACCTGGTCTGGGCTGCTCCCAGCCTCGGTTTTTGTGCTCACCTGCAGGGATGGGGTCCCAACAAAGGACTTCTCCAAGCTCCTCCATCAGGTCACCTCCCAGTGGCAGATCTCTTGCCCACTCCTGTCCTGGCATGTCGCGCCCACGTGTCTTACCGCCCAGCAATAAGACGCAGACGCGAGTGAAGCCTCCTGCGGTAAAATTTATTGTGCACACCAACATGAGGAGGGAAGCGCGGATCCCGGCAGGCTTCTGCTCTTATGTGCTGTCTGGCCCCGCCTCTGCCGATGATAGGTCGGCGTCATGATTACGCAGGGTTCTGGGCGACTGGATTCGTCAGTCCCAGTGTTTACGTGCCTGCCGCGCCGCAGCTCACTGCGCATGCGCTAGGCACGTGCGCAGTACTGTGAAAGCTACGTGACTTTCCACCAGGCACCAAGATCTAGCCTCTCTGGCCGGCGCCATTTTGGGTACGGCATGTAGCCAGTACATACAGATATGGCTGGCAACACTGGCAGGTACAGCAGCCTGGCCCAGCCAGCCCATACCCATTCTGGCTGTCACCGTTGGATGCTACAGCCTAACCCTGCCTGGCCCACCCTCAGACCTAGCCTGTCCTACATCTACCCTGGTTCTCACGAGCACCTAGCCCAGTCTGGCACACCCCAGATCCAGTCCACACCCATGCCGAGGGGTGCTGCAGCTGTGTCCAGCCTAGGTCTCACCCTGTAAGGAGTGACAAACGTCACGCTGAACATCCTTACCCTTTTGGACTCGGTGCTGTTTTAAATATCTGCCACAAAAAGGCACACTACCACATGTGCGCTAATCTCCATCTTGCTCCCCCTCTCTCCCTCTTCCCTTAGAGCTCCCCTCCTGCCATTATGGCAGGGGGCATTTCTCTCTCCCTCTCTCTGCCTCCGCTCCTGTCCCCCCACAGCTATTATTCCTGCTGGAATAAAATCTCCTGCATGGCTCGCTGCATCTGGTGGTACGGTTTGTGGTGGTAAACTGCAAAGAGCTAATGCCGAAAAGAGCTAACGGCGCCTGTTCTGGCTCTCACGCTCCCCAGTGGGACCTGCAGCCCAGCCAGGGCATACATACCCTCAGCTTCCCGACCAGGCCTGCTCCTAGCCGCATATCCTGCACACGCCACTGGTTGCCCTGACCCGGCCTGGTTGCCCATCCCCTGGCTTGGCCTTTGCCATCAGGTGTTACAGTCTGGCCTGACCCCAGTCCCAACTCTCACTGGTAGATGCTGCAGCTAGCTCTGATCAGCCTGTCCCCATCTCGGCCTGGCTTTCATGCAAACCAGTAGGTGTGATAGCCTAGTCTGGCCCGGTGTGGCCCACATCCCATTCTGGCTCAGCACTTTGCCAGTGTGCTCTGGTCTGGCCTAGCCCTGCCTAGTTCGCCACCCTATAGAATCAATCCACACACCTGCTGACAAGTGAAGCAAGCTTGCCCTGCCTGCCTGACACCCAACCCTGGGTGTTTACCCGCAGGAGTTACATGGCCACCAGGTGAATTCCCCAAGTTCTCCCACCAGGCCCACCCCAAGACCCAGATCTCACACTTGCCAGGGCGTGCTAATATAGTCTTACCTGACATAGTCCACCCCCAGTTTCGGCCTTTGCCTGTGCTGGTGCCTGCCCCACTCCCAATTCTTGCGTCTATGTAGGCTGTAGCATCCACAGCCTAGACAAGTTTGGTCTGTTCCAAACCTCAGTACCACGAGTGTCAGAGAGTTCCGTGGTTATGCCTCGTTTGGTCCACCACCACCCCCAGCTCTTGAACAAATGGATAGTGCAGGCCCTGTGGAGAGTGGAGCCGCGCCGCTTGTTGACCATTGCTTCGTGGCACAAAGGTGGTAAACAGGTTTTGGGAAGTTACTGAGGATTGGGCCAAGCACACAGGGAAGCTACGTGACCTAAGTCATGATTGGTGTGCTTATCACATGATGTGAGGAACTGTGTATGGATTGGTTTGTGTAATGTAAAAAGGTCTGGGTGAAAAATAGTTAATGAAGAGATTCTCCCAGGCACGCTTCAAGGCTATGCTAGGCTAGAGCTATCACTATCACTTCAAGGCTATTGCTAACTAGCACTAGGCTGCTTTTGCTTTACTGTAATAAATCTTACAAGTGCTGTAACTGCTTTCACTTTGCCACAATGCTTGAAGTCTTGACCAATAAACCTTTTTAAGAATCTTTACAGTATCGGAGTCTTGCTCGCGGGACGAGG